CAGGAATGCTGTTTGCGGATGATTTTGTTGGTATGTATGTATGTATGTCAGACACCCCTGAGGGACTGCAACAACTACAAATTGACGCGGCGAAGAAGTTTACTGATAAATGGAGATTGTCTGCCAACGTTAAGAAGAGTGCCGTCATGGTGTGCAACGAGGTCAGGGAGGAACCAGTAGAACATAGATGGAAGTGGGGGACCGAGGAGATTGCAGTAGTGGACCAGTACACTTACCTCGGAGTAGAGATCGCAAACGACTGCTCGTGGAATGCACACATATCCAAGGTGGTAGCGGAAAAGGGCAAAAGCACGAGCAGGGAAGCTGCACCCAATACTCGCAAACCGGCACCTCGATACACGCATCAAATTGGCGGTTTTGAAGAGCGTAATCGTACCGCCGCTAGAGTACGCCGGAGAAGTATGGGAAGGAAATAAGAAGGTAGTGAAAGAACTCGAGGCGGCGCAGATGAAAGCAGCAAAAATCATCCTAGGATGCTCCAAGCGCACAAGTAATAATGCAGCCGTAAGGGCAGAATTGGGGATCCAATCCCTACGGTCGGGAAGAGACGCAAGGAAGCTGACATGGCAGTATCGCATGTGCGGGATGGGAGAGGAGAGGTTGCCGAGAATAGTATGGGAGGCGAAGTGGGCAAACAAAAAGAGGGGTAGACAACCCACGGAATGGGTCAAGGTTGTACTGTAGAGGACGTATGGAAGGGGTTAGACATCGACGAAGATGAAACGCTGGAAACGGAGGGTCTACAGGGGTTCAAGGAGAAGATATATGTTGCTTGTGCCGAGAGAGAAGAACAGAATCTAAGGAAAGAAACCGAGGATAAGGAAGGTCTAGAAGTGTACGGAATGTTGAAAGAAGGAATAGGGTGCAAGGATTACCTACATGGACCAATGGATGCAGGGACAAAGCTTAAGGTCAAATTCAGGACCGGGGACAAAGGCCTTCGAGAACGTCGACGAAGATATAGGACGGTAGACAACGAAGACGACAAGTTCAAATGTGATTGCGGCTTTGAATGCGAAGACCGTGTTCATGTAGTCGCGGAATGTCCGTGGTACGAAGAGGATAAGGAGGTGTACATGACTGAGCTGGGAAAAATACAAGGGACGTGCAAGGAGATGTTTGAGGCATGGAATAGAGAGGAGAGGACGGTAGCTGTACTGGGGAGTAGGAAGTGGTTTGGAAAGGCGGGAAGGGATATTGTTAGGATAGACAGACTAACTAGGGAAGATATTATTGAGCCACCTTTGGCAAAGTAGGAAGGAACGATTGGCCATCGG